GGATGAACAGATAAATACAATGTAAAACTGTATTCTACAGCACAATCAGCAGGGAATATCAACACCCTACATCACTGAACAAGTGCATTCCTCACGAGTGGGATCTAAAGCTAGGTTTTGTTCCAGTCTCCCATGTTTTGTTCGCTGGGAAACACACACTCTGCTAATTCTCTCTCAATTACAGGAATCAACTTTCTAATGCCAAAAACAACTATCTGTGAATTAAAAAAAAAAATTAGCTGGCTCAAGCAACCACTTGTTTCTCTCCATATATGTGCAATTCAAACCTGCAAAGTTGATTCGATTCCAGGAATATCCACAGTAGACAACAGGTTCGCTGTAATGCGTCATACTCAACTAAAAGTCCAAAATAGAGTCTTTAAACCCAACAAACAGATAAGGAACCATTCAACCAGAAATCACGGAAAACAGAGAAGTAATAAGAGTGGAAACAAGAAGAAGAAACAAGCACAGAAGAAACAAGCACAGAAGAAACTCCTGAACAGAAAAGAAGAAAAAAGTCCTCTGTTCACGTGAGCTAAGTCCCAGAGTTTTGTCTGAAGGGATGCTGGGACAGAACAATGTCTTAATTCCCCATCAGGCAAGGCTACCAGTAGATGACAGCTGCTAAGAGAATGTAGTAGTCTGGTGTAGCTATCGTGTGTGTCTAGCTAGTCTTCTATAGTACACATGTAGACTGGATCAGCTCCATCTGTCTCGGTATGAAGGTTAATCTCCTAAAATAATTATGCTACTCAGCTACTACTGAATTGAAAACCTAGGAACATTTCCTGGCACTGTAATCAGCCTTGTGTTGAAGCCAGGAGCCAGTCAGCAATAGCTAGATAGAAAATATGATTTGCATGAAACATTTACAAACTGATGAGAAAAAAAAAGGGAGGGGGGGTTGCTTCAGGTTGTACAAGCCCAATTTTTAAGAAAACCAGTGTACAGGAACATAAAATGTTCCTTCTATCATCTTCTAGTCCCATATTGTGTAACTGGTATTTCTGTAAAAATAAACACCACGACTATTTCCATTGACTATCAGTCACTCAGAGCCTGCCACATTCACCATCACTTTCAGAACACAAACTGGCAGTGAACAGACTTTTTAAAAAGGACTGATCAGATCAATCAGGATTGAGCTACCAGAAGCAGCAGTCTTCATAATTCATTTCACAATGGTTAAAGTATAGAAAGAGTTCCAAGTGCAAATCCTGCAAAATTAATCATAAACGTACTCTCTTTGTAGGAGATGCCACTAAGGTATAAATTCTAGATAGAGGTGTCTTTCTTGTATAGACATATGCCTGCTCCTTTGTGGTTTTTAGCTTACTGGGAACTGGTTGCTTTAGAAGTCTGATCCATAAAATACTTAAAAGTTTTAAAAATAAAGAGATCTTTGGGGAAAATGGTGCTATTCTGTGCTATTAATATTCCGTGATCTAAGGAACACAAAAGGGAAAATAAAACTTTTGAAGTGCAAAAGTTTGGGGCAAATGGACATTTCCTTAAATAAATCAAAGCAGAAAAGACCACAGATCAGAGATTTCCCACTACTGGGTTGAGGTCTATTGATAATTTGTACTCACCACTGGCCTCATGCTTTCAGTTCCTCCTCTCTCCTTACAGCTACCACTGAACTAACGGGAGGTAAAATACAACGCTGATACCTTATTCCTAATTTCTAAGTGGTACAGATCTATCACGTCTCATCCCTCTGGCAAAGATGACTCATTTCTCCTGGCCCACTGTGTGCTTCAGATACCTCATGCATTAAGAGGGCAGCAGCTTCTTTCTGGTAGGAAAGGGTTATCCTGCTCCAGGCAAACGCATGCTTCCACTGACCCCCAAAAGCTCAGAGAGCTCCTACTGAAAGAAGGTTCACAGACAGACACCCACACAGCAGCCTGCACTGGGATAGTCTCTCCAGCATCCCATCCTATGACCACACTCAAAATGCATCTGTCATATGACCTCAACAAGCTGGGCAAGCTTTCCTTCCCACATCACATCATCCGTCATACAGCTTCTCACACATCAGAACTGAGTTAAGCTGAGAAAAATCCTATTGCAAACTAATCATAGTTACTAAGAGGCCATTACAGCAAAACACATGAACAATTAATAGTATTTAAAAGAAGAAAGAAATCAAAAGAAAGCGTACATGGCTCTTTCTGGAAAGATTTTTCCTCTGCTAAAATTAGAAGTAGTCTCCATAGTGTCAAAGAACTCATTGGGATTTCTTAATATCTATTCACATTTGCATGCATTAGATATGGCTTTCTATCAGAAATAGAAACAAAAATACCAAGGTTTTTGCAAGACATGCAAGCCATTAAGGAACTGATCAAGGGGTCTAAGGGATTAGAAATGCGATTAAAATGCAGTGGAGGAGAAAATTCAAACTTCAAACAAGTCTGAAAAAATCTAAACGGCCTACAGATTTATTTTTTTTTTGCAAAAGATTAATTGGTTTCTTTATATGTAAAACAAAACAGAAACTACCCACAAAAGAAATCCAAAACCACCAACAAATACAAGCAACCAAAAAACCCAAACCCCATCACCTACTTAAAACTCACTTGCTCTTTTCTGTAAACCAGCAAGTTTTGGTGTCTAGGTATAACATTGTGCAAAAAGTAAAAAGTCAGTGAAACTTGTCATATAGAAGTTTGTTTGTCTTCAGGTTTGCATTCCAATTTTCCTCATAAGTCTACATATTTTTATATTTGCAACACAACAGAACTAAACGTATATGTCTATATATGGAGATATATGAAGGCATTACAAATGATTCACACTTTTGTGTGTGTGTGTGTATGTATACATATTTTTATATACATATATGATGACCAAAGAAACAAATTCTGTTCTCAATGGAATGCATTTCCATATAATAATTTTGTTTGAGGATTTAATATTAAAACATTATATATGCATACAAGAAATTGCAAAACCACAGGGGAATAGCCTGTTAAAAATACTTCCTATCTTAATGTACTATTGTTTCCAACAATCAAATTTAAAAATAAAAAGTTAATCCAAGTAGCAGGGTCACTGA